GCGTAAAAAAGTTTGTGAATAACGAATGAATGTTAGTTAGCTGAACTGAATATGAGTGAGTGTGAGTCACGGGCAGAACAAAGTAGCTGACAAGCTGACACAATGACCGAGTGGCCGGCCTGGAGGCATATTGTTAGACAACAGTTGGCACCATTAAATGTCATGTACTCTGCATCAAGCTCAACTTCATTCTGGTCTGTGTGACTCTTTTGTCTGTCTGCCAGGCTGTTGGCCAATGTTTGTTTTGCATACTTTTCGGCGCCATTAACAACAGACGGACAACAACAACAACAACAACAGCAGAAGAGTAACTGGGCTGTCCATTGTTGTTCTTGTTTTGAAAATTATGTAGTTTTGTCTGCTGTTGTCTGCCACTGCAACGTGTCATTAGAAGAGACACTTTGACACATACAAACACACACCTAGTTACAAAAGAAAGGCTGCTCCACCAGATGATATCCTGTAATTGGTCCTTATTAGTGTGGCAAATGTTTTTACAAATTTTATTTGAAATATAAATAAGTACTTTTCAATTTTTTTATTATAGCTTTATATGCACAATTTTGTGTTCAGCTTTTTATGAAATGGTAAAAATAAAGGTATTGCAAATGTATTTAAACACACGGTTATACACTTTTTTTTTGTAAAAATGAAACGTTTCTCTCGTTCTCTTCTGTGCCTGCAGAGGCATAGCCTATATGTTATGCCCATTTAATTATTACAGGGTATAAAAGGGCACAAAAAGTTGAGACAAAAAGTTTGTCCTTTGCATCTGGACGCCAGGCGGCAGGTGTTGTTGTCCTGCTGTCCATTTATTTAGGGGTCACTGCAAAGGCGAATTACGGCCATTAGTTGAGCAGAGCAACAGAGCCCAAAAAACGAGGCCAACAGTTGCCACTGTTCCTTCCAGTTCCAAACGATTGTTGTACGGGGTCTGGCAACGTGCTCGTAGTCCGGCAATTAGTAATTGCCAAGCCTGGCGGCTGACCGACCTGGCTGCAGTCAGCTTGTTTTTGGTATTTGAGTTTTTATGAGCTCACTAGGCACGTAATTGTTTAGAAAATTTCTGGGTAAATGGCAAGTCAATGGGTTGCACTGTAAGCTGAGTATGTTAAATGCACTTAATGACAGCGCAAATCGTTTTTATCGAGTTGCCACAACTCGCTTTTGTGAATTCCAATCGCAACCGATTGAATTAGTCTGATTCAAGTTTGCGAATTAGGTCAAATAGCTGACTAAAATGTTGCACACAATTTTTGAATTCTAATTAGTAGCAATATCTAACCACATACACAACGACATATGCACAGCCTCAACAACAATTGAAGCAGAGCATTAAAAATTAAATGTAATTCAATGAAATTTCGGAAATGAATGCGGTTTTCTTTTGCATGTGTGAGCATAGGTGTGTGTGTGTGTGTGTAAACGGAAGTGCGACAAAAGTGAAAAGTTTTTATTTTTTGTTAAAACAAATATGAGTTTCGAATTTCTAAATGTTGACCGAAATATACCCAAACTGTAAGCGTCAATTAATAGACCCAAAATCTTTTACCAAATGACCTCGGCTCGGAAGCATGTGTGTGTGCGTATATAGGTGGGCTTATGTGTGTGTGCCTGTGTGTGTGTGTGTGTGTGTGTGTGTGTGTGTGTGTGTGTTTGGCAGCAACGGAAATGACAGCGCTGCAACATCGCAGGAAGCAATAACCGAATTCAGTTACGTTGCACGGAAATGACACACGGGACGAAATTCTGAACGAGCATGCGGACAAAAACCGTGCAGAAGAAAGGGTTGTATGTCTGTGTGTATCTGTGTGTGTATGAGTGTGCTGCACTTTCGGGGCAACTAATATGCAAAAATTGGCACAAAAATTCCATTCTGATTTTGATTTTTGCAATTTGCATGTTGCATCCTGCAACTGAAGCCGAGGAAAATCTCAATAAACTAGACTCAATAAAAAATTACGGGCTGATTCATTGGGCCAAATACTTGTACACTATTATGTACAAACATAAAATCAGTTTCATTGCATTTGTTTGAAATGTAAATAGATAATGATTTAAATGCTTATGTTTGCATTGCATTTGTAAACAATTCAACTTTTTAATTATTCAAATCAATTTACATGTTTCTAGCTTTGCCAAAAGAGAAATGCTTACAAAATGTACTTCCAGCCAGACTGAAGCTTAATTTGTACATGTTCAAGTCTCTTACATTTTCTAAAACGTTGCGTTATTGTTTTATTTATAAGATTAAAATAGGGTTTCGGCTTAACACTGATAGATTTTCAAAAGCTTCGCACTTTAAACATAGTTTAAGATTTGATAATTCTCGGCGATTTTCGTACCAGTCAAATCTTTGATTAAGTCGTTTTTGTACTCTGCACCTATTGAAAACGAGTATAATAGTTTTGTGCAGATTTATGTAACTGGGAGAAGGAAACATCTCATCAAAGGAATCGTTTAGCCCATGTCTAATTGCTGAAAACTCATCTATCATCCTTTATTAAGGGCCAGCTGAGCAATAAAAACACATAATTTGTAATTTTACAATTTATTTATTTACTTGTTCATCATCATAATTTACTTTACTTCGTATATTTACGGGGTTCCTTCATCTGCATATATATATTTTCATATATATATATATGTATGTATATATAAGTACTTGAGTCTAAGTTTATTAATTTAAATTTAATTCCACTTTTTGGTTGCTCTCTGCTTTTCAATTACTTTAATTTAATTAAGTTTTATTTGTTTTGCTGGCATTTTCAAGTAAATGCTGATTTATATAATTTATGTGTATAATTATACAATAATGTATGCATGTATGTATCTATATGTGTATATATATATTTATAATTTGATGTATTTCACATAATTAATAATAAATAATATTTATAATTAATTACAATAAATTGCATAACAAAATTCATTTGACTTTCCTTTTAGTTTTCCTCTTGATGTGTGTTCGTTAATATCAATTATTTATGGTTTTAATAACCAATAATTTGGTATTGTTCGGCTATTTTTTTTTAATTACTTGTTTTTTTTTTTTTTTAGTTTGTTGTATACAAATAGAAAACCATGAAAATTAATATTAATGCTAATGTTCCTTATTTCCTGTTTTTTTCTTTCTTCTCTTGAATGAAGCTAATTTTTTGTTTGTCTGCGTAACTCTTTATGTTGGTTTTGATGGTTTTTTTAATCTCTTCTTTTTTATTAATTTTTTTTTCATATGATTGTGTGCATTTGGGAGCTGTTTGATAGTTTTGCGGTTAATTTTAAATACACAAGAGAAGAAATAAATTAAATCAATATATATTTGTTGATGCGTGTATTTATTTGATTTTTTTTTTTATATTTTATACCCTTGTAGAGTATTATAATTTTCTCACGAAATTTGCAACTTAGATGAGGGCGTCTTTGACTCCATCAATTATATATAGTCCGTGTGCAACTCTTTATATTCCAAATAGTTCCTCTCTTTTACAGCTGTCTTTGTGAACCTTTGCATAGGCGCGTTTTTGCTTTCCTTTCTTACCTTTGAGTCCAATAACGAACTATTTGAAATTGTATATGCCAAACGCTGCAATTTTAAGCTTCGCTATTCGCTTGACATGTCTGCAAGATAGTTAGCCTTATATCTACAAGGGTATTCAATTTTCGGCGTGCCGAAGTTAGTTATTTTTTCTTGTTTAACTAAAGTTAGTGGTTGCTTGCATATTAAATGTTTTCGTTTTAATGTTGTTTCCGTTAATTACTTTTCGATTTTAATTGGTAATTTTTATTTTGATATATATATGTATATATTCGCTTGTTGCTAAGTACAATGCCTGCTTATGTTTGTTTTTGTTTTTGTTTAGTGATAAAAACTATGAAATTGGTTTTTGTTTGTTTTTTTTTTTAACTGTTGTTAATGGGCCTATTTAGGTATGTGTATTGACTGTCAAAATGTTTTGCTAGTTAATTTAGTGCGTGACTTATAATATACATATGTTTTTATATATATTTTTTTCATTTAATTATTTTTATGTTATAACAATTAATATCATTTTGTTGTTTTTGCCTTTTTCATAAAGTTAAGAAATTCGTTATTTATTTGCTTTAAACACTTTTCGATTTTCAGTTTACAGAAGCTCAATCGTCCGCATTTCGTTTGCGCTAAGTACAAAAGCAAAAAAGGTTATATAATAAAAAATAAACAACAATTCATTGAATAAACATCATAAAAAATAGACCAAAATGCACTTCAAAATATATTTGGAGATTCGTTTGTCTCCAAGATTATTGCTTCAGCTCCTCCAGAGCTCCCGTTTTCTTGTTCTTTTTGACCTGGGCATAGAGCGAGGCGGCCTTGTAATTGATGGGCCCATAATGCTGACTCTCGAGATCGGCATAAATGAATTCATCATCGAAACTTGCGGCATTCAGTGGCTATATTATTATTGAAAAAAAAGTAGGTTGTTTTCTTTATAATTATTTTGTATGCAATACCATTAAATGGAACATGCTTGAAACAATTGTTAGAAAGCGCACTTCTCATGCATATTAATAATCTATAACGCCTGTCGTATTTGTAAATAAGCAAATGAGAGAGAACTGAGCGTGAAAAGTGTGTTTTAGATAGCATATGGAACGATTTTAAGAATCGAAACTGAAATCAATATCATATTCATCATCATTATCATCATCATTTTCAATGGACAGCAGAACGACAGTTGAAATAAATTATTAACATTTGACCATAACAGAAAGTAATATTTATTAAAAATTTGGTATATACGAATAATTGATTTACCTTTTTCTATTGTGACATTAAACATTTAGCTGGGCATTTGATATTTAGTGGAAAGTTATACAAAAAAAATTTAGAATATATAGGTATTGCTGCCTTTGTATGGATCCTCAAAATCGGACACATGCTATAAGAAATTAATATGTAATTTAGAACACACTTCAAATATTGTTATTTCTATTTAAGTAAAAAGAAAACTTGTTAGTTTTTGTTTTGTTTATGCGAGTTAGGCTTGAAGAATGCATTTAATACCGCTTAAGTGAACTTTTTTAAATATTTGCTTTGGTTTTCTTATTTAAGAGTAATCATAATAAATAATAGGTTTTAAATAATTTAGTAAAATGCTTGGCTTCTGTTTGGTTTTCACTTCAATGGTATGTTTCTATTTCCTTTCTTATTCAACTAATTAAATAAATAGCAAGTAAATAAACTAGACGCTGCGCCCAGTTGCCTCTCAGTGGTAAGAGAAACCTTCAAGTTGGGCAGCCAATCATTTCTATATACAATACAAGTGCTTACACATATATATCTGAATTGTTTAAATATTCATTTGTATACATTACACAAAACTACTTCAAACTTAACACACATACAGTCAGAGTTGCCTTAGTATAATACTTAATTATTAATTATATTTATTTAATATAAGAATGAATTAGTTGTGCTTCTGGGAATGTTTAGTATTTAGCTTTATAATGCTCGTTGATTTTGCTTGTGTATTATTTGTTGTTGTTGTTTTCCTTTAGTTGTAGTTTAAATTAATTTTAATATTTGTTCATCAAGTTTAAATTTATGCTAACTATATACACTAACAATAAGTGCCTCTACAGTTGCAACTTTGCTCTGTGGACTTTTTGTGTATTCGATTTCTTCATATTAGGTTGTGTTTTGGGCATCTCTAGGGGCCACAAAATGTTCTATTACAATTAGTTGATATATGAATAATAAATATATATATATATATATATTTATAAAAATACGTAAAAACATTGGCAAAAGTTGATGAAAAATATGACAGCAGGGTAAACAGTTGGCAATAGCGAATCGCATGCATCACGACGATATTGGATACTGACTGTTGAAATGGTTATAGTCCCTGCCAAAATGCCAGTTTATGAAATTGAGAACCATTTGCTGAATGATTTGATGATTGAATAATCTCTAAGCTATTGTATATAAGTATTTTAGTGACTCGTAACTAAACTGTTCTTTCGACACATCTCTCTTATTCTGTTTACTTATATCATTTGAATTTGAATTATGCTAAATATAAATATGTTTTTATTCCCTCAGCTTTAATTACTAAATACCTTGTATGCGTCATTTAGGCCTGTCTAACTGTCAATTTCTCATTTGTATCTTTTGTGTCTAACGTTCTCCCCTCGAATTTCAAATGTGCACCTCGCGATAGCTTTGAGTCAGAAAGTATCTCAGTGCGCCCGCAGTTGCATTTGCAATGGCTGCACTACTCTGTGAGCTGTGGGCGGGCGTTGTGGGTGGTGCCGTAAGATTGTGGCTTGCTGCATTATCATCAGCATTATCATCATCATCCACCATGTACTCCTCCTCGCAAAAGGAGTAGCCCAAGTCCTCATCTTCCTCCACTGCCGCAGCAGCAGCAGCTGTTGTTGTTGCTGCTGCAGTAACAGCAGCAGCAAGCGGCTCGCTTTGTTGGCCGCTTGTTCGGACAAACATAAAGTCCGGATGCGTTTTAGTTAACACCTCTAATGCCTCTAATGAGGCAGCGGGATTTAGTTGACCCGTAGCTGGTTGCTGTTGCTGCTGCTGCTGCTGCTGCTGGTGTTCTTGCTGCGATTGTTGCTGCTGTGTGTCGTTCTCTTGGCATTTTTCATAATCAGACGCTGTTGTTGTTGCAGGTGTTGGTGAAATTGGCTTAAAGGCATGCCGTTCACTCAGCTCCAATGGACGATAGATGAGTGGACCCTGCGTCCGCTGCTGTTGCTCCCTCTCCTGTTGTTGCTGTTGCAGTTGGCGGCGCAGCTGCTGCAATTTGCCGTTGGCCGTTTGTGTTGTCTGGAAATGGAAGGTGTGGTGTTTGCGCAACGGCAAGCGCATCGGGCGACGCACCACCAGGCAATCGTAGGCGCCAGCCAGGGGTTGTGTCATAGGCGTGGCACTTGGCATGGGCGGTACATATCTTAAATTCTGATTGCAGTCGGCGGCAGCTAATTGACTTGCCTGCAGCAGCAATTCATTTGGCATTAGCATTTGTTGTTGATGATCGCCACGCCCCCGCCCATGCCCAAGCCCATTGTTGCCGTGGCTGTTGTTGTTGTTGCTAATTTGTTGCTCAGCCGTTGCTGTTGCTGCTGCTGCTGACGTTGCTGCTGCTGCTGTCGCGGCTTTGGGGCCACTATAACTGTTGGCTGCAAGGGCTTCTGTGATGTTGCTCCCTTCGTCGTCGTTGTTGTTGTTGTTGTTTCTGGCAACAGAGGCATCGGCATCGCCGGCATAATGCCGTTTGATATGTGCGTAGGGGTCGCTGATGGTCTGTCGTCGTAATTTCTTACTGCAGGCATTGCTGCTGCCTTTGTTGTCGTTGCTGCTGCTGTTGTTGTTGCTGATGTTGCTGTTCCGTTTAAGTGCTAAAAATGGATTAGTGGCCAACAATCGCGTTTGCTGTGGTTAGTTTCGTGGTTGCAATGTTTTCAATGCGATATCGCGCATGCAATGACGATTGTGTTGTTGTTGTTGTTGTGGTTGTTGTTATTATTATATTGTTTTTTTGTGGTGTATTTCCATCAAAATTATATAGATTAAGCAATCGTGACATGTGAAAGAAAAAAGTGTAAATCATAAAAGTAAATTAAAAATAAAATCAATTTAAAATAAATAACATTTTAAGTTGTTTAATTCAAAAACGAAAGAAAATTGAGCCTTGCTCATTTTTTTTTTGTCGATTTAGCTCTGTTTCCTGTTTTCGTGGACTTGATTTTCTATATCTTTTAATTGTGTATATTATTGCCTGTTCTTCTAAGCATTTCATTTATGTCTAAAACATATGGTTAGCAAGAGACACTTAAATTTGTTCACTTTAAAATTATGTCTAGTTTCCGGTTTTGGTTGGATAGTGGTTTTTCTCGAAAGCTGTTTTTATTGAAAGTTTCAACCCGCAGTAAAAACTAACTTGAATTGAAACCTGGCTTGCTGCCTTGAAATCAACTAAGGAATAGTTGGAAATCGTGCTCTTAAGATTGCTTTTATCTCAAAAGTATTAATTTTGAAGTCTGTCCCAAAGAATTAACTTCTAGAAATAGAACACAAATTGTTTGGACTTATAGTTCTGTTAATGTAATTAATTCAACCATTTCGGTTGGGCAATAATCAACTACCCCACAAATGTGTTCCTGTCCCTTATATATATTGCGCAAGAATAGACACCAATAAAATAAAACTTTAACTTAAAGTGTGCGGCTTGTTGAAAATTTGGAGTTGAATTTTAAGTTTTTGCACCCAGGATAATGAGCTGCCTGCCAGATGCAGATGCCTATGCCCAATGCGAAAAGGAAATAGTGTGTACGCACCTCATGTGGACCTAAGCGAAGTGGCAGCTGTTGCATTGTTGATGTGCTGGAGGGCTTGCACTTGCCACGACTGGCGGCACTCACGCTGCTGGCCACCGACAGCATGGAGGTGGAATGCGCTGGTTGATGTCCCAGTTGGTACTGCTCATAATCCTCAGGTGTTGTGATTTCCGGCGTTGGCTGCCTTTGATGCTGCTGATGCTGGTGCTGCTGCGACTGCTGCTGCTGCGAGTGGCGATTACAGCGTGAGCTGACGGTGCCGATGCCGCTGCTGTAAAGCGAATTGGATGAGCTGAGCGAGGTGGGATCTGTGACGGGCGCCGACGAGGCGGATTCATAGGACGAATTAATATTGTGCGCCGGTGAGCCGGCACGTGCCAATTGCTGCTGCTGCTGTTGTTGCTGCTGCTGCTGCTGCTGCCCTTCCACGTTCATGTAGAGTGGCTTGCGGGTCAGGTTGAGGCCCGAGGATGCCGCCTTGTGCGCTTTGGGTGTGCGCTGGCCCAGTGCCGGCAGCTGGGACTCATAGGAGCTATTGGATATGCCCGAATCGCTGCGATAAATGCTCAGGCGTTCAGGCTCCATTAGTTGAAAGTCAGCTGCAGCGCCAACGGCGCCAACTGATGCATCAGCCTTTTGCTGGTGCTGGCGATGGTGATGTTTCTTCTTGTGGCTCGCCGAGACGACAGCAGCTGGCTGCGTGTGCAGCTGCACTGTGGCCAGATTCAGATTCAGATTATGATTCAGATTCATATTGTGACCAATGCTGCTGCTGCTGCCGTCACCGCCCATATCCATGTCCAAATCGCCGCCACATTTGTCCGCCACATTCTCATAGACGGGCGGATCATAGAGGCGCATGGGCTTGCCGTTGGATTCAATATCGCCATGGCTGCCACCAGCAAAGGAATGATGCCGCTTGCATTTCGGCGCCGTTGTCGTTGTGGCCATTCCCAATGAGGCATTCAGATTGTAGGCCGGCTTCTTCAGCTTGTTGACGCCATTGGGAAACTTCAGTGAGTAGAATTTCTTATCCATGTCCATGCGGTCCAGCAGGCTGCCCGCCTTGCCGCGCTTGCTGCGCTGCATGCTACCCAGCAGCTCCTCGCCGGCCGCATCGTATTTCTTAAAGTTGCTGGCGGCCAGAAAGGGATTCGTGTTGAGCAGCGCGGAACTGGGCGCAGGTGGTGGCGGTGGCACACGCTCAACCACCGCGTATGTGGGCTGATAATCATGCTCGATGGCATTCAACAGCTGCGCATTGGACGCGGAATTGGTGTGAAATTTATGCGACTGTTGTTGTTGTTGCTGTTGCTGAGATTGTTGCTGCTGTGTTTGTTGCTGCTGCTGCTGCTGCTGCTGATGATGATGCTGCTGGTAGTATTCGGTGTAGCTTTTGGGAAAGCAATTGCTTAGATTATATTGTATTTGATCGGAGCTGGATTCGAGCTGATCCAGACTGCGATTATGTGGAGCCGTAAGAGGGGGCGGGGCTGTGCAGCCACGCCCGTACTGCAAAGTGTTGTACTGCTGATGTTGTTGCTGCTGATGTTGCTGCTGCTGTTGTTGCTGCTGTTGCATTTGTTGGTCGTAGTAGTGTGTTTGCTGCTGTTGAGGATGCGGATGCTGAAGAGTCTGGTGATGCAGCAGCTGCTGGCTGTTCATTGCTTGACCAATATTTCCATTTAGTCTCTTGGGTCGTGGAGCGACGCGCACCACATTTGTGTTGTTATTAAAATTTGTAGGGGTAGTAGAGAACTGCCATGCGAGACGATACGAATACGATGCGAATGCGAATGCGGATGCGGGCACATGCAAGGGGCGTTTGTTTTATTTTTGTTTTCAGCATTTGATTTGGTTATGCGGCGGAGCAGCGTGAAAGAGTTAAGAGAGAGAACATTCGATTAGTTGTCTTAGTTAGTTATGGATGTTTGCATATCGGTTAGTTACGACTGTGAAGCTGTGGGTGAACTGTATCAACTGTTGTAATTGGAGCATGTGTCAGTACTAGAAAACAACACATATATTAGGGGAGTTTAGGGGAACAGGTTTCTTAAAGTGAATGTGGACTTGTGTGTATTGTAAATATGCGAGCTATACGGGAACTTTACTTTTAACATTTTATTACCATTGAATATTCTCAGCGTTGGAGATCGTAAATATTTTAACATTTACTTGAGCTTGAGTCAAGTTTATTTTAATTTGAAGCGCTTGATAACTCACACACGCCTTTTGGCATTTTTTATAGTCATGATAAAAATAAAATAAATAAGTCTTTTTGACTTTTAGATCAATTTATATGCAAAACGCATATTTTCTGCCTCTAAATTTTTCCATTTAACTCGCATATTTTAAAAATTTAGTGCATTCACATTTGTTCAAAGTTCTCTTCAATAATAAAAATAAATTAAATTGTAAAAAACTTACATACTACATGCTACATAATATTTGAATATACACAACAATATGAATTTCATATCAATAAATGGAATAAGTCTTTAAAATACCATAGATACCAATGCCAAGGAAACTAAATTTAAGAAAAAATATTTTTAAAAAAAAAGTTCACTAGACGACACATAAATCATGATTATTTCCGTTTCTTTGCGTAAACTGAAACGGAAATTCTTGATTTTGGATGTTGCTTGTAAATAAATGAAAAAGAAATAAATCGGAAAAATAAAACAAAGAATACGAAAAAGATGACACAAATGACAAATGAATGATGAATGAGAGACATCATTAGGCAATGGAGAGCAAAAAAGCGAAGGGAGTAGGCTAGTTATATACTACTCGTAAATGGCTAAGATAGACACCTCTCTATACAATATATTTACTTAAATGACAAAAAACTAAATCATTGAGTTTTCTCTTTGCTTTAACGTTAAATTTGTTTACACACAAACAAAAGAAATCAATTTTTTATAGAAGTTGGCATAACACTAGAGGCCAGTAAAACTATAAGTCAGACAGAGATAGAGATAGACATAGACAAGAGGCAATATACTGAGATAAAGCTTAGACTTATACATATATAGTACATAGTAATACGAGGCGAGATTAGCAATGTGTGTGGTTGCGTGTGAGTGTGCGTGTGTGTGTGTGTGTGTGCGGTTGTGTGTATGAGCGTGTTAAACGACTCGTTTCATTATTCAGTATTTTGAAAACATATCTATGTATTTTTATTGGAAAAACAATAAGAGAAAAAGTTTAACTGTACCTTGTTAGGTGCCGTTTGCAGACCATGAAACGGTAGATTCTCATACTCGCCAGGTTCCGTCAATGGATCCCCCAGTGAAGACGACTTGTCGTGTACTATATAGTATACGTATACGGATCGGTTGATTTGGCGATTAGCGTTGGGTTTTTTTTTAAACATTTTTTTTCAAAAATAATTTTGGTTTATTTTTTTTTTTTGAAATCAGAAAAAGAACCGAAAATAATTGGAAAAAATAGACGAGAATATAATTAGTCAATTATAAAATTATAAGGTTTGTAGGCTAACAAAATGTAGACTAAAATTAAACTTAATATTTTTTTTTGTCATACACCTAAGCTAAAGATTTTTTAACTCAAATTGAAAACCTATAGAAATTATAGTTACATAATATTTCAGTTTTATTCGATTTGAAGTTTTACTTCGTTTTATTACATATGAAATTCATGCAGAAATGCGAAACACGCACAGGCCAGGACAATACACAAGCAGGCAACATGGAAACATTGAAAAATTGCAAGCCAAACGAAAATTAAATATTTAATTAATGATAAGAACATCGATAGTTTTGACTAGAGACAAGTTTCTTGTTGTGTTAGCAGATGTTCTTCATGATTTTTGGTTCTATAAACTTTTGAAGTTATGCGTTTCTCTTACTTGTCGCTTCTCTGTTTCTTATATAAGGACCTCGACGCTTGATTCGTTAAAGTAAATTACTTACAGCGATTTGTTTGTGGCACAAAGAGATACAGATTAGGAAAATGGCGATAATAATAATTGAGAGTATGCATGTGTGTGTATGTATGTACAATGTTTAATGCTTAAATGGGCTTGTTATGAACTTATGAGAGACTGTGACTGTGACAGGAATACGGTTGAGAAGAGGACGGAAGTGTTTCACATTATAAATACCAAGGCTGCAATTATTATAAAAATTTCATCGATGGTTTGAGCCATGGTTTGTGTTGGTTCAAAACATGGTTCTACACATCGCCTAAAAATGGAAAATAAGTAAGAATAACGATCTGGAACCGTTTCGTTTACAAACCGTTTTGCAGCCTTATTATAGACTTTAACGCTTGTGTTGCAGAAGAGATTTATTTATTGCAAAAAAATTTAGTAATCTATGCTGAGTCTCATCTTCAAATCATCTGAAATTGCAACTCAGCTTTTTCAATGAGCCCCCAATTGCTTTTCAAATAAATTTCTATGCCTTAAACTGTAAATTTATATAGGTATTCTTGTTGGGGTGGGAGCATGAAACATTTGCCTAGTCACCTTTGGCTAATAATATTACCAACACGTTTAGAGCATACGAGAGTCACTTGGAGATATTTGTGCAAAAATGTACAGAGTATTAATAAAGATAGGCTACACGGCATAAAATTCAATTGGAAATGCAATCGATGTAAATGATTTATGAGTTCACAACGAGCAGAGTGGGTTGGGCGAGTGAATGAATGTTGGGCTGTATATGAGCTATATATGAGATGACTTGTGAGTTTCTTCTTACTTTGGACGCGTTCGACTTTGCTGGGTGACACCACAACGGTGCGTTTGAGCAGAGGCGGGCGGTTGCCACTGTTGCTGATGTGTATGTTGCTGCGGCCGCTGCTGGTCAACAGCTGCTGTTGTCCAGGGCCATGACGCAACGGCAATATGGGTGGCGGTGGGCGCGGCGGGGGCGTTGAACACTTCAATATGCCTGGTCGCTGTGGTCGATCCAAGCAGCTCACGCCAGGCCCAGCGTGGACTGTTGCTGCTGCCGCTGCTGCTGCGGGTATTGCTTGTGTTGTTGTTGCCGCTGTTGTTGTTGCTGCGGTGTCTGTTGGCGACGTCTTGTCTAATGAAGGCGCTTGAAATGTCACAGAGGCATGTGATTGGGCACTGCTGGGACTGTTTATTGTTGGTGTTGTTGCTGCTGGTGCTGTTGTTGTTGTTGTTGATGTTGTGGTTGAATTAGTTGCTGTTGCTGTGGGCGTCTTTTTGTAGGTGACTAGCGATACGTGAAGATACATGTGTGTGTGTGTGTGCGCGCGTTTGTGTGTGTGCATGATACGCAATGCGATGCAACATAAAAGGCAAACGATAAATAAAAAAATAAAAATCATAAGTTAACAAACGGGCTGATAGTCGTCCAAGATGTATGTGTTATTACCACTGCCACTGCAACGTATGCCCTTGAGGCGATGCTGTGCCGCAAAGGGCGATTCTTGGCTGCCACGCCCACGCCAAAATGTCTGCAACAGACCGACATGACTGCGCTGGCTGTCCCGGGTACCATCATCGCTGGACCGCTTCGCGCGCCTGAACACAAAGTCCAAAATGCGCTGCATGCTGCTGGGAGCGGCAGTCGCTGATGCTGTTGCTGCTGCTCCTGCTGTTGCAGCTGTTGTTGCAGTAGGATTGGCAAGGCACGCGGTTAGCTCTGGTAGTGCCTCAGCTGTAGCGGCGTCTGTTGCATCTGTCGATGGCAAGGCAATGTCAGTCGGATTAGTCTTCATCAGCCTACGGTTGGCTGCTGCAGCTGCAGCTGCTGCTGCTGTTGCAATTGCTGCGGGCGATGCTGCCGTTGCTGTCGATGCTGCTGTATCTGCTGCTTGTTCTATCACCGTCACCGCCACCTCGGTTAGCATTGTGCTGTTTGAGTTAGTTTGGCTATCGTTCAGTACGGCGCTCAGCTGTGCCGACAATTGACTCGCATTTGCACTGGGATTTGTGTTTGGATTTGGATTCGGTTTCAGTGTCATGCGATTCACAGCAAGATTCTCTTTAGTGTCGCTGCTCACGTGCAACATGACACCTGGCCGCAGTGGCCAACGTGGCGGCGATTTTGGTACTGTGGCATGCAATGAGCTGTTCCGCGTTGTGGGCAGAGGCGTGGCCAGCTCATTGTTGTTCTCGGCCGTAGCGAGCTTTTGTTGATGTTGTTGCTGTTGCTGCGGTGGCAGTAGGGTTGCGGGCAACAATGTGGCCGCATCTGCCGTCATTGTGTCGTGTATGGGCAAGGCCACACCCACTTGTGGCAAGACCGGCTGATAGGATAGCACACTGTGATATGTAGTATGCATGTGTATGGTATGCGTGTGTGCGTAGGTGTATGCGTATGCGTATGTATTGCCATTGCAATAATTGTTATTTTCGATGTAAGGCATTTGGTAAGCGTGTATTTGAATTAAGCAAGCGAGCAACAAAGGATTATAAGCCACGCACATCGATACGAACAGGAATTCAATTTGTATATATACGTATAATATGTGATACATGTGATGATACATAAGTTACAGTTGATTATATAGTTGTTGTTGTTTTTGGGTGCGCACAATAAGAAATTGATATATATGCAACGAAAAAACGAAGTGGTGTGGGAAAAAATATAAAAATAAAACAAATTAAAATCGTTTAAAATATTGGCAAGTCTTAAAAATCATGCACATTTTAACACTAGAATTATTAAAAAAATTTATAAAATTTTCTTTAAACAATTTTGTTTAATTTTAAATGCTTGAGTTTGAAATTCTATCGGAAATATATGCTTTCAGCCTATAAATAACAAACGCCTTGGTATTTCTGGAGTAATATAGACGTGCGCGTTATAATTCTCAATTGATTTTAGCGGGGACTCAATTATCGGAAATGTATATCAGAAAGGTTTAAAAGTTTATTCTCCCTTAAATATTCAACAGTCAGAATTTTGTAGCGCAACTTTGTTTTGGTCCTTCAAATTATATTTTTTTTGCTAATCTCTATCGTAATTAGAATACCTTTATTAGGAAAATTTTAAAAATGTTAATATTCTTCATAGGGCGCATTTGAATTCTTTTAGACGCAAGCAAAATCTTTTAATCTCCAAATAAGAAATAAACAGATTTCAATTTTGAATACATTTATAATAATTAAAAAATGAAACATAAAAGTCTTTGCGTACATTTTCAAAAATACTTGAATATTTTTAATTAATAACAATTCAATGCAGCACTTACCTTTGGTTGGCGCTTATGGAAACTTCCGTATGATCTTAACCAAATGAATTTAAATCAAATGATATTTGGTTGTCGTTGTTGTTGTTGTTGTTATAATGCAAGTGTGTGTGCGTGTGTGTGTATGTTGTTTGTAGTTGTTGTTGATATTGTAGCACAATATGAAGAGTTTGGCGCGTTTTGTTTGGCAAAGCATTGAAAGCATCGTTAAATGTATTGTGGTTGTTATTGTTGTTGTTTGTTGTTGTTGTTTGTTGTTGTTGTTTGTTGTTGTTGTTGTTGTGGTTGTTACAGCGAGCAATTATTAAGTGAAGCAGCATTGAGACAACAATATGTAATATACACAAGTGTATGAGTCAGATAGATAGATTGTAAGCGATAGTTTGTAAAAGCGAGATGCCAAGCAAAATTAATTAAAATTGTTGCAGATAATACGAAAACAGCAAAAAAAAAAAATAGAAATGAATAAAACAAATAACAGCCATTTATTTTTGTTGTAGTTTGTTGGGTTCGTTGTGGTTGTTAATTAGTTGTAGATATTTTTTGTTATTGTTGTGGGTTTGTAATTAATGTATTTTTTTATGCCATTGATGTGGTTGTTGTTGTGGATGTGGAGTTTGTTTTTGTTGTTGTTTAAGTATTAAACATTGAATTGAACAAAATTACCATTCACACAATTCAATAATATATACATGGGTATATAAAGCGTTTATAATTGAAAAACGAAAACATGAAAAAAAATACATAATTATAATTTGGTATAAATATAAATAAAAATCTATCAAATTAAATGTATAATGATGTATATTCCATACAGGGTGTTTTTGATAGTCTATTAAAAATTGTTAATCCATAAAATATTGTTTTGTTTCTTGTGAAATATATTATGAAACGGTTCTAGAGCATAAATCTGGTTGTTTAAGCAACAATTGCATCACCCTGTATGGACTTATCACTTCAGCTTCTTGCATTAAATGCAAATATGCAAAATTTTCACAGCAAAGCGCAGCACGAAAGCTTTAAGCCAGTAATTAAAATCAAGGCAAAACAACAAACCAAAAAACAAATTAAATAAATAAAGTTCTTAGCCCATGCAATGAGGCAGCAGGGCAAATCGGATTTGATATGCATTCAACAGAGAAAAGCTATGTTATTTAAATGGCATACTTATAAAGTGAACAGGTTATATATTTCTGTGAAATTGGCATAAAGCTATGGGAAGTGTCCTGTAACCTATTCTGTTGAATAATTGGATTTTTCATGCACTTAAGCAGATGTTTTCTTGTGAATACTCTTATATTCTTAAATAATCATAACCATGCAAAGGTCTGGACATGCTGCTTTACAGGCAAAATTCAAATGAAATAATCCTTAAAAATAACTTCTTAAAAGATGCCAGAAAAATGTTCAATTCAAGTTTGTGGCACAAATAGTTCAAATATAATTTCAACTCATATTGTAGGCTATGGTTGTTTATATTCGGTTTGTTCAAAGGGCCTAACACTATGCTTGGGGAAAATTTCCATAACATGACAAAACAGACTGTTCGCAGTCATTTTGAGTTAATTCTTGTTATTATTGTACTCACATTTATCCTGACGCCGACGGCGACGGCATATGCATATAATTATGCAGCAAATAATAATGACGGCCAGCAATAAGGCCAATATGGCGGCAACCAGTATAATGAGCGTCGTTTTGTCCCAGCGCTGCCACCAGGCCAGTTGTTCTGCAGAAAGAAAAACGGGAGTGGGCGTGGTAGAGAAACAGAGAGCGACAGAGATGAGCATTAAAATATAGCATACTTTTGAGCAAAACTTAAAGCATAGGCAAAACTTAACAATACATGCAATTCTTTACAACTGACAGCCGAGCTAAGCCCGATGTCTGCCTACTTAGCCACTTGACTGACTGACTGACTGACTGGCTGACTGACTGACTGACTGACTGCCAACAGACTTAGCTGCTGCTGCTGTTGCTGCTGCTGCAGTTGCTTGTCAGCTAACTTTAATTTATCAACTTGTCACATGGTTTTGCCATGCCAGGGAACGACGGCATTAACCATGCAGCAGCGGGAAGCGGCAACGGCAGCGGCAACAGTTCCGCACATACAAATGCATTTCATGTTTTACTTAAAATGCACCCCGCACCCGTACCACCCGCACCCGGCCAATGTCCCCGTCATGCCCAAGCAATGTGGCATTGTCTTATGAAATTGTGCTAGGCAGCTGGAGCGGCATCCTTCAGCCGGCTCGTCTCTCATTGTTTTCCATATTTGCTATAATTCAGCTGTTTATCATCCAAACAAATGAATTGTCTTTGCCAGCAGTGCGCACTCAATGTGTGTGTGTGCGTGCGTGTGTAAGTGTGTGTATAGTGTGTGGCAGACGCCTTTGTTTCGTGGCAACGTTTATCTCTGTTGGCGTGTGTATTTGTTTTCTGAGTGTATTCACATATGTTATGAGCTATTCATTTTGGCATCGTGTGCGGATTCGCGTGTCAACAACATTTAGCAGTCAGCAGCCAGGCCCTAAGCCTCTCCTGCCCCAACAACGCTCCTTCTATCCGTTTCCTATCTTATGCAATTAAACAAGCGAGAGAGCGACAAATGAAAAATGGCGGCTTTTAGTTTTAGTTCGCTGCGTGTGCGCGCGTGTGTGTGTGTGCGTGTGTGTGTTTATATATTTGGTTATGTGGATTAGCGTTGGAATGTGGCACAGCGGCGGCTTTTGTGTATATGTATGCCAACAGCAGCATTGTTTATAGCTTTAAGATTGTTGTAGCCGGTCATTGCATAATTAACAATAAGAAATTCTACTGTTTGATATTTTTAATAAATAGCAATTAAATATTCAAGAATCTTGACTTACTTCACCTAAAAATTACTGTATACTTATTAATTTAAATCAGCTCTAATATATAAATACATCATGAATTCTTGAGAAACTCTTCTTAACTACTTTTCTACAAATTTCTAAAGAATACAAGCTTTTACAAATTCAGAATAGTTCTTGTTCCTAAATAATATAATAACTTGATTGCATTTACATAAATGTTTTTAGTATTTAGACATGCAGTTACTTACTTTTTGGTCGCACTAATTAATTAGAAGCGTTTCAAATTCGTTAGTGAGGCATAAAATGGGATTAGCATTATATTAAAAAGCAAATGGAAAAGACAGAGAATAGCATATATGTATGTTAATTCACAGGATTGACCAAATCAATTTGCTGCTGCTCAATACTAAATTGGAATTAAGCAAATGTTTTCAATTCTTTTCACATCAGCTTACATTAATTGGAATAATTTATAGAACTCAACAAATGGGGTAAATAAAAAGAAAGGGGGATGTAAACTCATAAGAAGTGAGAACGTTTTACGGCATTTACCTTGCCACCAAATATAAAGTGCTGAACCAGCTGTTAATATAAAATAGAAAACCAAAAACTTTACACTATTTTTTTTTGTATAAATAATAAATAATATGTATGACCAAAGAGAGAGTTTGGGATAATAGCTGGAAGGGTTTCGATAATAGCTTGTGGGCTGCAAATTACAAAAGAGTATATAAATCAAAGCCATTGTCAATTTTAGAAAACGTCGATCAGCTCTAAAATATAAAGTGGACCACAAAAAAAATGTGTTGACGTCATCAGCTGTCAAATTTCAATTTCAATTTCAATTCAATCAATGAAATGGTACAAAAAGTGGCATAGCAAGTGGACACAGTGAAGCTGGCAGATTAGCTGGAGGCTGGGCAACGGGCGTGGGGCGTGGGGCGTTGTGTGTATTTGACAGACATTAAAATCGCGGAAAACCCAAGTGAAATTCACGACTTAAGCAGCTGAAGAAAATCAGAGCGCATAAAAAATAAAATAAATATAAAAGAAAATTCGACTGATTTCTTCGTAAAGGACGCAAGGAAAAAGCGCAGAAATCAATTTCCGTTGGGTTGTAATAAAACGTGGAGCATGTTAGAATAACAGGTAAGCAAAGGGAAACGGGTGGGGATGATGGGGGAAATGCGAATTGCTGGGCGCCAAACAATGCCCTAATTGCCGCAGCCAGCGGAGACGTGGCCGCCATTTTAGTTTAAAGCGGAAGCAGCTAGCCAACATTTTATGCAGAGCATAAAAAAAGAAAGCACCGGAAAACGGAAACAGATGAAGCAAATATTGACAGTAATCAGCTTCCGATGCTTCGTCTCATTCCGTAATGTTCTGCTCTTTACTTGTTTTTATTTTTTTTTTTTTTAATTTTTTTTCGTGTTTTTTTTGGAATATTACTCACCAGCAACTTCAATCTCACAGAATGCGCCGGGTCCAACGGAATTGTTAGCCACACATCGATAGGTCCTGGCAATGGCGTAATCCTCTTGCAGTATGTAAAAGCTTTTGTCCGCAAAGGTCTTCTTGTCGCCAGCGCCCAGCGTTTCGACTGTTTCATTTTCAGCTTTAATTGACCATGAAAAATCGGCCTGCAATATACAGAGATAACAAGAGGAAAAGAGATAACCGGAAAGCATAATTGAGAGTTAGAAAGAGTTGAGCACACAAGAATCGAGTACAAATAGACCTATGCAGGTCCATGTCTGTTGATGTCTGCACCTTTTCGGCTGTTTTGCGGAATTTCACTTTGCACTTTGGTAATTCAGATTTTCTTTTTTGTTTGTCTTAACAATTTTCTCTTGCATTGCAATATTTCTTTGCATTCCGAGGCTGTGTTCTGTATTTGGTTTTGGCATTTTTGCGGGCCAGCGTTGTTGAGGCAGATTTCCAGTCTTGGTTAATGGGCATAGAGCTGAACGACATGGCCGATCTGGCTTAACTGCATTTGAAACCTGTCACTTGGCTTACACGAATGTGATTTGTTTGCTATTCGAAAACCAGGCAGAGATAGAAAATTTTGCCTTTATGCCATTAAATATAAAACAAGTACTCTTCAATGATTACCTCAACCATAAAAAGGCTACTGGATATTTCTCGAATGCACATTTTGAACGAAATTTATATTCTACATCGAAAACTGGCAGTTTTCTTTGGCCAGTTGAATAACTTTAAGCTTATGTATCTCATTGCTCTTATTACCTTAGTTCTGGCACACCCAACATCGATTCGCATCAATTTCTCATCTGATTGCATGCAGCGTTATTAAATTTTAACTTTACGCCCGTTGAATAATTTCCAATCAAATAATTACGAGCCACCGACTTTGCTCCGCAAACACATACACACACGCACACACACATGCACAGAGGCAAGACTCGTTTCGCTGCGGTTGCTGCCTGTGTGCGTGGCAATAAATCTTTGGGCCAACCTGCAGGTTACTCTTGCCCTCCCTCCCGCCTTAATCGCCAGCACGCTTTAACTCAAGTAACGGCAAAGCAAATGCAATTGTAAAAAAAAGGAAGAAAAAATGCAAAAAAAAAAATGTTGCACTGATTTATGCGGCATGGCAAAAAGTGCGAACTCCAAACTGAAGTTGGAAGTCGAGTTGGCAGTTGGTGCTGCAACCGTTGTTGCCAGCAGGAGATCCGGGTTCCGTCCAAAAGGTAAACTCATAAAATTGAAAATACTTGCAGCTACCTGTATGGAAAGAGAACTGAACTGAACGAAAAAAAAAAAAAAACAGCCAAAGCTCTATCCGTTGCTGTAACCACCCATCAGCATGCACCACAATTGAAATGCTATCGTTATTACCATTTCGTTGGCCTGCGATGGGAATCGGAATTCTTTTTTCTTTTTCTTTTTCTTTTTCTTTTTTTGTGGTAGTTTGGGTTGAGCGTCGCGCAGAAGCTTGCCTTTGTTTTGAGTGTGCTCTAGGCGAGGGTATTACGAAGTATTAGAATGTTTGACATTCATATATGAAAATATCCATCACAATAAGTTTATCATGTTTTACGTGTGCTATAAGGTATAGATGCAACAATAACTATTCGTTTTAGGCATTTATTTGTTGTTTACGCTTGCAATGCCATTTTAACACAATCATATTTTATTATGCCACATACACACATTTAATTCGCAGTATTTAAAGTACAATCATGGTCAAGAGACAGGCTTTAAGAAGGGCTTCCTTCGATTCAAATTAATGTTCATATATCTCCATCACACTAGTTTCGAAATACTGGGCTCGTATTTTATATATATTCATAGTTGAATTTTTCAAGCGTTTGATTGTTGTTTACTTTTTGCAGAGCGCTTTCAACCTGATCATGATTCATCTTTGACCCACTTTCCAAAATATATTTTTAGGAGTGCTTAAGCAGATTCTTTTTAAAAAGGCAGACGGACTTTGAAGTATAGGATATTTTTGATCAAATATCTAAGCAAATCATTCGACATATAGAGTATCTAAACTACGTCTTTTACATTTGTACATTTTACACACTTGTTTACAGTTGCGTTTGCCTTTATTCATCATTGACACTCACCTCTTGAGGATTTCCGTATGCTGTGCAAATAAGTGTATCCTGATCATCGATTTCTCGCCTTTCGATTTCACAGCGCGGCGTAACTATATCCGAAATGAAAAAAATACGTAGTAGAAGTGAGGAATTAGTTATAACAAATGGAAACACAATCGTAACCCATCCCCCTGGCCAAAACAAGAACTTACACTGAACATCGATGAGAGTTTCGGCAATACGATCTCCATGCTTATTGCGGGCTCTGCATCTATAGATGCCCGTATCATTGCGCTTAATGGGATCGTTGATAATCAGCGTATTGCCCATAGTAACCGTCTGGTTGGGATATAGCCACTCATATGAAGGTTCTATAAAATGAGAAAATAGTTGCATTTTGCATCCGCCTATCCTAACGCACAAATGGCAATTCATTTACCTGGATTAGCTTGCGATTTGCATATGACGCGTCCTGGTATATGATGTTCCTGCACATAGACAATATTCTCCGAGACGCTGATGTTATTCGGTGCGTCTACAAAGAGGAGAGGCAGAGGAGATGTCACAGTCAGTTTTATGTGACTATCATGAGCTGGTGGGCAATACTCACATTCAATGCTCAAGTAGGTGGTGCTGTTTACTGTCGGTCCTACCGCGTTTGCCGTCGAGATGCACATGTATTTGGCGTTATCCGATTCGATGTCGAACTTTTTATTCGGAAAATTTGACATGTTGAAGTGCTGGTAATCGGTTTGCAGAAAATAAAAGAAAAATACAACATGAAAATATGTCATTTACGTGAATTGGGGATGAATTTTGATACCGAGTCTGAGTCTGCGGATATAGCTGCGCGAGTCGCAGCTGCCATTCGGCCTTTTTTTTCATGTTTTTATCTTCTGTTTTTTTTTTTTACAAACAGATAAACAATTCAAATTAATTGGCATTTTGTTTGCCATGGCAGTCCAAATTATTGAGCATTGAATAGACAGCTATTTATGTATTGAGTTGTTCATATGACACGAGTGGATTTTACGCGTAATTGATATGGGATAAAAATATTGAATTGAGAATTTCGTTGAATTTCTGTCATATTATAATTGGAACGATTTGTTAAATGCGCTGCAACCTGAATTGGAAAGGGATGTGCTTTATTTACTTCTCGGGTAAGGACCGGCTAAAGAGTACTTAATATGTTTAAGCTTTTCTTTGTCTCAGGTTTATTATGAATTCTCTGACTCTCTGACGTGTTGGCATTTTTATTGTGTGCTTAGTACTTGTCTAGAAATAAGTTTATTTATATATTTCTATTAAGGTGCCCCAATTTGCGACTCTTTACCTTATTGAAAGGAATGCCATACCCTATACCCTTTGGTAAAGTGAGGTATATTGACTCTGTGAGATTGAATGTAGAAGGCAGAATATTTAAGTTATAATCTTTAAAGACTTTATATACCAGGAGTTTCTTTCCCATTCAAAAATATATTCTTATTGTTTTTGTTGGTTTAAGTTTCCTTCCCGTTAGCTCGATTACAGTGCAACGAATGTACTTACCAGAACTGAGAGCATGCTCTCGAAATCGCCAGTGGCCGGGGATGCGTCCATATACTTCTCTTTGACAAAGTAACGGGTATCATTCTTGTCAATTGGCGTACCATCCTTCAGCCAGGCGATCTCACAGCGGGGCACACACTCGATGCGGCAGGTCAGATTAAAGTTGGAGACGGAGTGAAGGACGCCCGTGTAGGGTTGCATATTCTTGATGAAAAATGGCGGAGCATGTACTTCCAAATTGACTGTGGCCATTACGCCCTTGCCGCCCTCATTGTACGCATAGCAGGAGTAGTTGGTGCGGCTATCGAGGCCGACGGGCTCCACGGTCCATTCCTTGGTGACAATGTCCTGCAGCGGGCCGCGGCCGCCACGCAGCCAACGGTATCTGTTGGGTTGCGAGAGCGTTTGAGCCACATACATGAATTTGCCCATTTTGCGGTAGAGTGCATAGGATGCGGTGGTGGATTCGGATGAATAGTCGAATGGATGGCCCCCATTGTACAGGGTTAAGATTTGTGATTGTGGCATGTAGGTGGTGAGCGTGAGCAATGTACAAAGGGAATGATTCAAATGTAAATCGATTAGAGCATGCGTTTCTTTAATTTCATGAGCTGCTGAATGCGTTGCACTCATGCTGGACAATGTTGATAATGTTGATGATATGTGTGTGGGATTAATCAAATTATGTTGTGGTCGCATTTGCTGTTGCTGTGGCAGCTGCTGCTGATGCCGCTGCCGCTCTAGTTGTTGCCTTTGTTCCTGTTGGCTTTGCAACAGCAGCGCCTCGAAAGCTGAATCTGCCTCATGCGGCAGCAGGGCTTGCACGGTATGATATGCAATTTGTGGTGTGGATGTGTTGTGAATGTTGTTCTTGTTGGCTTGTAATGCTACAAACCTATTCGATTCGGGGTAGCCCGGATCATCCACAGAGCAATAAAAGATGACGCTCTTCTTCTTAATAGCAGTCGGTGGAAAGTGCGTCAGCGTGGCTGGTCCAGGCTCGTAGTGCACCTGTCAGGCGGAGAGAAATAGAGAAAACACAGCATTAATTTTAGCTAAGAATGAATGTGGCTAGTCGTGACTGTGTTTGTTGTTATGCATACCATTAGTTCCTTATCCTCGCTGCGTGGTCCCCAGCCAGCAACATTGTAGCCCTCACAGGAATAATTATAGAAGAAGCCGCGACCAATGCTCTCGAGCAGCAGCTTGCTGGGATCAATGTGACATAAATCCTCCTGCGCGAAACACAAGTTGGTCAGTTTGAAACAAAGAGAGAGAGAGAGAAAAAAAGACAACTTACTCTTGTTTCCTCGCAATCGGGCAGCTCCTTCAGCAATGTGGAATTGGCATACCAACGCACTTTGGTTAGCACCGATGGATTGGCGTCCAAAATATTGCAGAACAGGGTTACATTTGACTCATCGCTCTCCTTGACGGGTCCCTCGGGTATCATTTGCACCTCGACCAGGGGCACGTCTGCAGTTGACAGAATAATAATACGATTAAAAAGCGGCTTGGAATTATATTTAGGAATATAATGGACCTCTAATGGATAACTTAGAGTCAGTTATAATAATATTCGATTATTTCAACTTACACTGCACATCGAGATCGATTTGCTGCTCGGAGATGCCCTTGCCAACGGAATTGGATAGCTCGCAGGTGTAGTTGCCAATATCTTCTTTATCCGTGGACTTTATCACCAACGCCACGTTCTCCGAGTTGCCGCCCTGGTAGCGAACCGTATCGTTGACATTAACAATGTCGCCGTTGCGATACCTGCAAAAAGCAAACAGGAGACGAGAAATTAGTTGGGATATTTGCCAGACAAACGTTGCATGGCATAATTTAAGGGCGTTTGACTAGCTAGTTGGGTCAGAGTCTGCCTAAGTTAGCACACATACACGCACACGCATGGATCTATTTATGATGCATCACGCTCACGCACAATCATATGCGGAAGGTGTGTGTGAGAGAGAGAGAAAAACACAGAGCCAGAGAAAGAGATAGAGACGGGCAGCCAAAGGCGACTTTTCTTTTGTTGGCTATTTAAAATTTATAGGCACGTCTCATTGTGTTTTTGTTTTCATAACCACTTGAACAGAAATCACACTGAGAGAGAGAAAAAGATAAAACAAGAAAGAGAGAGAGAGAGAGTGAGAGATACTGGTACGGAGTTTTGTCAATGAATCTCAACTACTTTTTAGGCTCAGCCACAGACAAAAACAACAAGAACAAAGTACTAGAAAATTAAGTCAAATGTCCTTTGTGCCTTGGTTTACTTATTTACTGTCGTTGTTTCTATTTCCTCTCTGCTGGCACGATTTACAGCTCTTGTATAAGCTTTTAATGCAAACTGTACTCAAATGTCGTTCATTTTGCAGTTGCTTGTTTGACAAATTTTTTGTTCAACTCTTTGGCATTTTCTCTGCCTTTGCCCTGAGAGTTGGTCTCTGCCTCGCTCTTACTCTTGTCTGAAGCATGATTGAAACTTGTTCTAAAATCCACTTACAAATCTTGAACCGATTGGTAAGGGAAAGATTTACAAGAGATGCACAATTGGCAAAAAAAAAAAAGAAATTGCAAATTAAAGATTGCATCGAATACTTAAGGCTCAAAAGTTAGAACTAACATTTGAAATAAGTTTTAATATCGTTTATTGCTTTATAAAAGCATATTATTTGCTTTCTATGTTATGTTTGATTATTGAAAGTTCTAATAAACTGTTTACTTTTCCATTCTCAAGTTAATTGTCAATAACTTAAGAAAAAGTCAGCAATTCAAATACTGCCTTTACTGCCAGACAGTAAACACACACACACACACACACACACAAACACACACACACAAACACAACCAGTCGCAGAGGCTAGCCACAAGCGAGATTCTTCATTTACGGACAGCCTCAATTTATTATTTTATTTTATTTTATTTCCTGTTTTTTTGGTGCATTTCCCAGTGGCATTAAAATAATTTTACGCACACTTCTGTCTGGCGATAAAAGGTTGGCAGTAAATAACAAAAATGGTTGCATCCACGTGTTTGGGCGAAATTAAAAAATACAATGCATACGCTCCAGCGGTGGGCAGCATAAATGGAAATAATATTGGCTACAGGTCGAAATGCAACTGCAACATCCAGCCCGGTTGGCATACCAGAGGCTGGCTCCGGACTCGAGGCATGTTGCTGGCACGGCTCAATATAAATTTTAATTGATTTACAATAACAGAGAAACGACAGCAACAGCCGCTGCCTTCATGCGTACAAAAGCAATTTTGATCGTTTGGACTACACATTTTCCAGCTTTTCCTCACATTGCGCTTTTGGTGCGAAGTAATTTTCAGTGTTGCGGCCACGTCGATTTAATGAGTTAACGTTGCACAACTTTTGTTGCATAAATCCCGCATATCACCAGCACCGGACAAGCGTAATTAATTTTAATTATCAGCCCCAAAAAAGGAAGGACCTGTTTTGGGTCCACAAAAAAATGTAAAAGAAATTCACGTATGCTAGGCAAAGCATTTATTTGTCTCCTCTTGTGTCTCAAACCCATTTGTCAAATCTCGTGTCTTGCGTGGAAATGTGCGTCCAGTGAGAGACAGCCGAAAATATTTATTTAATGTGAAATGAAAAAGGTATTGAAATTATTTGTATGTCTTGAAAGCAGCTGGCAGAGTGCTCCTCACTTACATACGGCCAACGGCCCTTGCTACTCATTAATATACTGAGGTGTGAGTGTGTGTATGTTTGTGTGTATTTGTGTGTGTGCCTAGCAACATGAGGCAGACATTTTTAATTGGTTCGTAGCAGCTCCAGGCACTCATGCAACTTCGCCTTTGTCGTCAACAAGCCGTAAAGTCAACTTTTTTTTGGCATTTTCTTGGCCTGAGGCAAATTTTGTGGTTTATTGCCAGTCGCTTAAATAATTCAACAATTACAATTACTTTTGTGGTGATTTATAAATTATGTGAAAGACTGGGAAACTGTGAGAGGGGTACGCGTGTGTGTGTGTGCATGCTGTCTTTGGGGCTTGTTTGTTCTAACGTTCTATGGCTGCTTTTAAGGGTTGCTTTCCTATTGTTAGTCTACGAGTTGACTTTGGGGGAAACAGACAAATGCTCGTAAACAGTCCCAGAGCCCCAACCTTGGCCTATTGTTGGCGGGCGCAACAAATTAAGATTAATTTTATGTAAATATTTCATGCTGAGTGGATGGAAGGTAACAACATAGAAACAATCACAGCGTGCATAAAACAAAGTCGATTTGATCTCCTGTAGATCATTATTGTAGATATCAATTGAATTATATTACGTGAGAAAGTATTTTAATGAATCAAACCAAGAAAATAAATTCAAGTAATTTGTTGTAAAAGTTGAACTGAATTACAACTCATAAATAAAGGAAATATGTTTGATTTTAATTGCTTGTTGTATGCAAATGAATAATCGCAAAATATCTAAACACAATCTTTAAACTAAACAAGAATGTATGAGAAAAGTCAAGCGAAGAAATTCTTTAAGATTCTTTTTTTCTTTCTAAGTTTACTTAACTTTATTAGAAACTACTTCTTTAAGGTCCTTTAAAATCCAATTAATATATAATTTGCAGCTGTTATGCAACCTGGCCCCAACAATTGTAGCTAAAAATGTTGGCCCTGAAAGGTATGCTACGAAAATTTTGCGCTGTCTAAATTTCATGCAGAGCTTTTCATTTTTTAGCCTCAGAGCAAAGGCTGCGCTTACACATACATGTACACACACACACACATACACACAGTGTACACGATTTACTACGAGCCCACACATTTATATATAGACAGAGAGAGGAAGATAATTTGTGAGAGCAAAAGAGAGACAGACGACGCGACAGACTCAAATGAAATGCCTGCTAAATAAATTTTCTGTGTCACTTTTGTGTGTGCATTTAATTTCTCAGCTGGCATTAGCAAAAAAGCGCAAAAAAAAACGAAGCCAAGTGAAAAGCGAGCGTGAGAAGAGAAATGCGAAAACTTCAAGCATGGAATAGGCTTGTAAAATGCAGCCACTTGACACACACACACACACACTAGCGTGTGCATATATGTGGTTGTCTGTGTTGTCTGTGCAATGTTTGCTGCATCTTCATTCCTCATGTGCGCGTTCTGCGGCAGCTGCAGCTGCTGTTGTTGTTGTGTAATTAGGAAATCGTGTGGCGTTGACATTTAATGCCCCAGGCAGCGTCAGGCTCTACGCAATGCAGTTTTCTGCACTATTAAACAAAAGCATTGCCTCGTTGTAGTGGAGGTTTTTTTTACAGAGTGCTTAGCAGAATGCTTAAATATATGCGGTAAATATAAATATTTCGCAATTTTGATTAGAATAATAAAGTTCCCAGCTGATATCTCTGTCTAAGCTAAGTTCACTTTAAGAATATATTAGCTTTTATTTTCAAATAATTAAATTAGCCCTATGCTAAAGTTTTAAGCAACCGCTCTGTTTTCCTTCCTTCATTAAGTTGGCTAGAAACTGGGAAAACTACTCGGATTCGAAATTGGGCTGCCCTGAGTTAAGTTGGATTTTAGCCATGCGCCATTGTTCTATCAATACGCTATGCAACTTGAACTCGTATTCCCAAACAAAACACACGCACACACACACACATTATCACGCAGAGATTTTGCAGCCGACCACCCTGTGAATATCGCGCATACGCCACGTGGTCGCGCCACCATCAGGCAAATTAATACGTTCTCAGCATTAAAGTCGAAGAGGGAGAAATCTGTGAATGAATGGAATTGCAACTGCAATTTGCATTTTCGGCATCCGTATGGCGCATACGCATTGCATGCACATCAAACGGCCGCAGTATTTTGGCCAAGTTTGTTAGACACAACCATTCACAAGCTCATCGTTGGCTCGTCCACGTCAAGGACCACATCCACATTTCCATTGCTCGCTATCTAATTTGCCCGTTGGCGAGTCGGTTGCCATGCCAGCTAAAGATTGTGCATTATACTCATTGTGCAATTTTATGTTTGGGCATTCGTGGTGCAGCTGCTGACGGATTTGCATGCCTGTTGTTTGTCTTTGGCAGAGTGCCTGCTACACTGCCCGAAAACATTATAGTGGGAACTAACAGAGCAAATAAGCAAGGAAAGTTCTGCCATAAAAGCAGCATGGCAAACACCTGAAAAGATTGTTGTGCACAGCCCGTTGTAAGGTAGAAAGCTATTTGGAGTTTTGGATATAATCTATTATTAGTTTTTTTGTTGTTGTTATTGTTATTATGTTATATGCATATTATTGTTATTATTTAAATGAATATAATTTTTATTAATTGACAAATATCTCTGACTACTGTGGACATCGGACTAAGACAATATATTACCTCACATATTCCAACGCATGTTCAAAATACAAATAAAAGTTTGTCCATCAGGCTGCAATCAGATATTTTATATTTTTGTCTCTTCGCGCTTACTTTTAGCTTTTGTAGCTGACGTTTTTCAACTGGACTAAAACAATGCTAAAGTGAAATTGTTTGCGCCCAACAATTTCTCTATGTTTAGCAGGGCAGCAGCATACAGCAGCCTATTAATTGTACACAGCCGCAGCAACAACAAATTCTGGTAACATTCTCCCAACTAGCTTGCATTCGCATGCGAATTACGCAACTGCGAGTTTGTTTTGATTTTCAGCAGATAAATGCATGCTCGCTGCATTGGAGACCTCGCAATGCAATGCACGCTCATGTTTGTGCTTGTATGTATGTGTGTGTGTGTGTGTGTGTGTGTATCTGTCTTTTAGTGCGTCAGTGTGTTCTGTTGCTTTAATAGCATGCGCACCCAATTTACGCACTTTCTGCTCGTCTTGTTGTTGTTGCTGCGTAGATTTCAACTCCTGTTGCCTATTTACTTTTGTATTTGTTTTTAATTAGATTTTTGTTTACAGTAGAAATTTTAGTTTAATTGAGTTCTGCGTCGTTGTAGTTGCAGCTGCCTGACTGCCGTGTTACCTGTGAGTGTGACTGTTGCCTGGTTTCAAAGTCACCCAAAGTGCTGTGGGGCCTGGGGGCTCAACCCAGTCCGCTCCGGTGCCCTCCGCTTTGCCACACACCTTTTGCCAGGCGCCAATGCAGCACAACAAAGAGCGCGTCAGTTTTGCCTGTGGTCAATTGCTATCTCTTTTTGGTAACACTCCCGCCCGCCCAGTTGCCATCTCTTTCACGTGTGCGCGTATTTTGTGTGGTGAATTTAAAAACAATTTAAATTCGTTTGCTTTTCGCTTTTGACTTTGGCTTGTTTGTGTTTCTTTTTTTTTTTCTTCCAATTTTCAGTTTAATTTTGCTGTCATTTTTCTGTCTTTTATTTTTATTTTGTTTTGGATTAAGCACTTACCAAACGACCTGCGTGAGCGAGGCCGGATTTGCCACGTATTCACAATTGAGTAGCACGATTTCGCTGGTATTTGTGACCATTTCCGGTGGACTGACCTTGACGACAGGCGGATCTGTGTGTAAAGGGAAGATAGAAAAAGGAGAGTTATAAATTGGCAACAAAAAAATATAGATAGATGTGCATAAAAGTTGGCTAAAAGAAAGTCAAATAAAAAATTTCGTTTGAAGTAGCAGAGTATAAAAATTGAAGAATAAATAATAATTTTTTTGAAAATAATTTCGAGTTTTTTAAGGCCTGGCTTCAGCTTTTAAATATCAGACTGGCAGAAGTAGTAACAGAAACTAACTTCTTTTTTGACTGGGAACAGAAATTCTCTCATCTATTTAAGCTGTGCTTACGTCAAATGATTTGTAAACCATTATTTAACTATTAAGCAGCAAACCTTATATTTAAAGATCCTTTTACTTACACATTATTTCCAATGTGAGGGCTGAGGCCATTGGCTTCTCGCGATTGATTTGCAGAACAATATTTTCGGCCTCACAGCGAAAAACGCGATCATTTTCAAACCGTGTCGCATTGAACATCAATTCAGACTGGGTGTGATAAGTGCCATCCTCCTTTTCAAACTGTCAAAGCGAATCAAATGAATTAGGGTATATTTTCTGAATAAATACGAAACTTACAGCCTTGGTGCGTATCTCAGTTAAATCGTTCTCCTCGCCACTAATAACAGAAGTGGTGTTATACCAGGTCAGGTTGACTGCGGGCCTAGCGCCGTGTATCTGTCAAAAATAGAGGGAACACAATCAGATATCCAATATACATCCAGTGGGTCGTATGAGCTATATTATTGCTTGTACGGAGCAGATAGAGGAAACTCTAAGCAATTGCCATTAAATTTCCATTAGCAAGTGCAGATATTCATATACATATATCCATTAGCCAACAGTTTCAGGCAACATACCTGACAAGGCGGCAAGGCAGTAAAACAATTGCATAAAATTCCATTAAACATAATACGCAATCAATAGACAATTTTGCATAATTTTACAGTGCACACGAGGCAGGTCCTTGCGCTGAAAGTGCTGCTAAACTGCAGCCAATTGAGCGCTTTTCCATTAAAATGCAATCGCAACTGGCAACTGGCACAAGACAGACAAAGGCCCAAGCAAATGACAAGGCATTGTCGTTGACTATGTAGAATGATCAGGATGTGCAAGGACTCGGCCCGTTTAATGGCCACTGGCCCACACCTACACATGTACAACCTCAACGTCGACGAAAAATCGCAAAATAATTGACAGTTAATTATTGTCAATTACTCGGACTGCCATGATAAAGGACAAGTACGAGAACGAGGACGAGGCCGAGAATGTGGACATGGACATAAAAGCAACCTGACATGCAGTGCAGCTTATCATGCTCCAAAATTCTAATTCTATTAGAGTTTCTTGAAGGGATTATTATAGAAGAAAAATATTAATAAGAAAGAGTCTCAAGTATAGTAAGAATTTGGGGCATAACCTTAAACGATCAGATAACGTTAAAAATAAAATGTCCGACGAATTAATGTATCTTAAAAGTGGGTAACAAATAATCTGTGGAATTAATATCTTATATCTTAAAGATATTTATTTGTCTAAGTCTTTGTTATATATTTGAAAAAGGTATTCAGGTAAACTGTTTTCTAAGAAGATTTATTCTCTAAAGTGAATCGGATCCTTGGGAAGATTTAAATTGCGTTCAGAGAAATATAATTTCTTCCTGATTCTTTGATTCTCAGCGCACTATCTGGCAGTCGATTGACCAGATCGCACGACCTTCTGCTCCAATCGACCCGTAAATCAGAGTTTCAGTTAATACAAAAGTTCATCCAATACTTACGTGACATGTTAGCACCACTTTGTTGCCTTGCACCGTATGATGTTCCACTCCGCTGATGTCTATGCTCGTGGGTCGCACTGTGGAAATGGAAAAGAAAGCGGTTTGGGTGGCTGTTAGAAAATTGCTTAAAATGCTCGACTTGTAATTGGCTTTTGTCTGGGTATGTCTACTGCTCGCTTGCCTAGCTCTACTTCCACTGCTCCTTTTATCCATAATATAAAACATTAATAATGGCAATTTGCATGCGGGCGGACTGGCTGGTTGCCTTTTGGAGAACTCTGCCTACGGCATGCATGAGCTTCCATTTCCTACATTTTCAATTGATTGGTAAATGTTTTAAGGCTTGGGGCATGGTATGGGCGGCAGTTGGCCATCAATCAATTGGCTGTGCCCACTTTGTAAATGAAAAACTTGGCTTAGTTGGCTTAGTTTTATGTTACATTTAATGACATTCATTAATTGCTCCAGCAAAAATGTCAAATCATTCGTCAATTTCAAAAAAAAAAAAAAAGAAAAAGTAAAATAAAATTCAAGAAACTGGGAAAAATGTCACTTGATATTGTCGGCTTTTAATTAGAAAAAATTTATTTGCATGACTTTCAAAAGGCTCTCAGGCGCCTAAGGGACTCTGTTGTTGTTGTTTTTGTTGTAATTAGAAGGGTTCGTTTGGGGTCTTTTTGGTTTAATGAACCTGAAACATGTCAAAATGTCGCGTGAATGTTGTCGCTTTTGTTGTTTTTCTTGCAAATTTATTACGCTTTTTAATTTACGTTAATTAATGCACTTAAACAAATGCTAAAAATTCGAAAAAGTTTTCAGCTTTATGCTGTAATTAGTCAGTGGGATTTAAATTGTTAAATCGTTTTGCGCAAAGTAATGTAAGGGATACTTTATGATTAAATTAGCATTTATTAATTTCTTAGGTAAAGGTAATTAAAATCATTAAAAATATTTTTTTTTATATACATAATTTAAAATGTGCATAAATAAACAAATAAGATTTGGTGATGCTTTTTAATCTGTTACTTGTTCTTTTAAACTTTCTGGGTTCTCTGGATACTTCCAGGTTTATTTTCGCTCTTAAAATACTTTGCTTTAAACACTTTTATGCATTATAAAACAGGGTCATAAAATGTACCCTTTTTACTATGCTGGTCATTTAACTAAGCACACCTACATAAATATATCGTATTTAAGCCAACATCTATGGCTGACTCACTGCTGGCTGGCTTTTATGATAGGCAGTTGAGTCATCCCAAACGGGAATGGGTTCTTTGGCTTATGTTTATGGTTCAGCGGAATAGTCGCAATGATGACTCACCTTGCAAATCGACAGAAAATTTGGTAACAATTGCATTCTTTATAGCCGCCGATTCGACGCGACATTCAATATCCGTTGCCAGATCCTCACGTGATAATTGCCAATCCAGTTCGAGTGTGGATGTATAGAGGCCGTCGTTAAGATCATGAGTTGGCGAATCTGTGCAAATGAAAACCAAACATTTATTATATATTTGAAACTCTCATTGAAGGAAAGGTAATTTCTAGATTTCACATTTTATATTTTCCAGGTGTTCTCTACTCATCAACATTTTCCTAATTACAAGCAATTATGATAAGCAAAGGGCTTATAAATACAAAAATAAATAAAATTTCGCCTGGAATCAAAGATTGGGGTTAGACTTGTGGCCGCTCAGACAAAAGGGTTGCAAGCCACAGACCGAAGGCCAATTAGAAGCCGCACACAACAAAAAAAAAAAAAAACGAAATGAGGTAAAGCACAAAAAAAAAAGAAGGGAAAATGTTGCCGCCTTGTAGCTGGTGTTGTTTGTTTCCGTTGCAAATTGCTAGGATATTTTTGGGATTTCGGGCATAAAAATTACTTAAAGTGCTTTTCAAGGCCGGAAAATGGTAAACCAAAATTTGTGAAATGTTCCGGGTGCTTGTTTTAAATTCTGCTTTAGCTAATGTAATGGATGCCTCGGCTTTTAAAATAGAAATCAATTAATTTCACTGGCGGGGCTTTAGCCTTGTGGTGGTTGTTGGTTGGGAGCCTGGAGCTAAGGCTCTTAAAAATTTAATGAAAATCGCCTGAAAGTTTATTTTTATGCTTTACAATAAAAGGGCATAGAATTTTATGGGCTGCTGTGGGCGCGGCTGGGCATTTGCCTATGCTATATAGGGCCAAAAAAACTGACACTGATAAGCAGCCAAATCCTTCCGTGGCCAGGTCTTGGCTTTATGACCTCGGTCGTCAGTCACTGCATAAACTTTGTGGCGCATCGTAAACCCGACTCTGAATTCGACTGCTTCAACTTCGTGGGCTTATGCATCAAATTGGCTGCTTAGGCCCCCAACCCCAACCTACTACCCCGACTTCAAGCTTTTCGGAATCAATAAACGCGCTTCAGCAGTTTTTATGACTGCCGGCAAAAAAAAAAAAAAGAAAAGAAAAGCTAACCTTTATGTGATTTGCTACCTTTGGAACATAGTTGAGAGCTGGGAGCAATACTCACATGTTGCCAGGCGTTTGGTGCCACGCCACCAGCCCACATCGGGTTGGGGCCGTGTGTTCTTCACCGTACAGGTCGCCTTGAGGCTCTGTCGCTCCTGCATGGGTCCAACGATGCTGCCGTTTTCGATGCGGTCGCCCTTTGCATCCAAAATCACAACCTCTGTGGGTGGCACTGTGCGTCCAACATCCAACGACATATTGTGTGATGTATGTGTGTGTGTGCGTGTGTGTGTATATATTGATGTTGTGTAAGTGTGTGTGTATGTTGGTGTTTGTTTGTGCGTAGTTCAAATAATTTTTTTTTTTTTTGGTTTTTTTTTTGCATTTTTTACATTTTTTCGGGAGGTAAAAATGTTGAATTTGTGTTTTTAATAAATCATATTTCATTTGCATTGTATATAAAATATTATTAGCAGAAATTATAATAAATTAGAATCGAAATTATAGTTGGCTAAGAGCAATAAATTTGAAATGAAAATGAGGTTAAATACTAAAGTTCAAGAAATGAGTTGAAATAGCTTTGCAATGAGATGAAAAATTGAAGGAGCCGATTAATATATGCTCAACTAAATTAAATAAGGAATTGATAATAAATATGCTTTAAATAAATTAAAAAAAAAATTGTAAAAAAAAAAATGAGCACGACATTCTCGTTCTATTAAAGAACTAAGGAAAACTAAAAATTGATTTTCTCTTGCCAGTCAACTAAATTAAAAATTATAAGAAAATTGAACTAAAAATTATGTTTATTATAAGTTAAATTTACCAAGGTTTTCTACGTTTAGTTTTGCGTAGTTTTTTTTTTTTAATGCATAGCCAAAAACGTTAGGTTTTGGTTTTGATTTGACGTTTTTAAGAAATCAAATTTAATTCAAAGCGTTTTTTTGGAATTAAAAATTATTTTTAGGTTGAGTTTCACATCAGTTTATGTTTTTTTTTTTTTTGTGGGGCACAGTTCAATACAGTTTTGAAATACGTATGTATATAAAAAACAATTTTGTTGGTGAGTGCACACGTTTGAAAAGGGGGGCGATTGTGAACGGAAGAGATGTGGTGTGGAGTTTGATTTAGTTATTCGTTTTTCGATTTTATTTTTTGGTTATTTTATGTTTTTGCAGTAGTTGTCATGTATTGATTTTTTTTAGTATTTTTTGTTTTGGTAGTTTTAGTTTTGGTGGAGCGAATTTGTTTGAGTTTTTATAGCAATTCATATATATATTCATATATATGTGCATGTCACATGTATATATAGAAATTCCATGTCGATGTGGACGAGCGTTTGTATGCGATTTTTTGGATATATATATATATTTTTTTTTGATTTTTTTATGTTTTTGTGGAACAATCAGTTAAGAGAAAATATTTGCATGAGTTTTGACACGTTCAAATGTTATGGTAAAAGAGTAGAGCGGTTAAAAGTAAAGTTTTCGATTTGCACTTTGCAATGGATGTACATTTTGATATATATACTAATAAATAAAGTTTTTTATTTGAGTTTTACATTTATTCATGTACATATATACAACAGAATGTTTGGTGTGTAAAGGCAGGCAGCAAAAGGCATTCCAAAAAAAAAAAAAGGGAAAAAACTTATTTTTTTTTAGTTTTCACTTGCATTGAAATAAAGTCAAAGTGAAAATGCAATCGATTTAGCAATTTGGGTTACGAATTTTGAATTGTAAATTGTCGAAATATATTTGCTGAATTGCAGTTCCGAATTTTTGCATAAATTCAACGAAATATTGTGTGGAATTAGAAACAGGTTTAACAAAAATATTTTCGAAAATATCAACCCAAACGGGAATTGGTATTTATTTTTAAGCTCGCATATACAAGGCAAATACTATATATTTGAGTTTAAGGAACACATTTGACTGATTGCATTTCCATTCTGATTGTACAGACTTTAAAGCAGATTTTTCAAAAACGATGCTTTTTTGGGACAAACACAGTAAGCATAATATGCGTTCAGATCGCTCGCTCCTCAAACATGCAACATCCTTGCAGATATTCCAGCTTCAAACGAATCCCATGCATAAACACGTATGTTCTTTATGATATGAGTTTTTACAGGTTAGTTTAGCAGTTAATTGTTATTTAAAGCAAACTGAATACAAAAGCATTTACAATTTATACTTCAACAGAAGAATCCATAAGTGTACGCAAATTAAAAGATTTGTTAAGTGAATTGTTAAGCTGAGCAGAAGATGGTAGCATGCAAAAGCAACTGGCACGAGGTTCGGGTGGTAACTTACCTAAGACTCTTAATTCGACACGATAGCCATTGAAGTTATCACACGTTTCTTCTGGTATAAAAAATGTTGTATCACATAGATAGATATCCTCATCAGATATTCTCAAATCCTTAATAACTAATCTGTATGGATTTTGCTCAACAGTTACTCTGCAAGCGCCACAAAATATATAATAATCAATTATTGTAATTTAATTTAACAAATAATTATCTTTTCAGCGTGCGCTCATTTATTTTCGGCTAGACTCACCTGTTTTTAAATTCATCGTTCACACTCGTGACATTGCTATCGCCCAGCAGCATTGCAGCAATCCGATCATCGCCTTTGAACCAGTTCAGGGAATGCAGTTTCCCGCATTTTTGCTCATTTACAGGACATGGCAGCACCACGTTTTTGTTTTCATGCTCGCTGATGGTACGATCTGCAAGAAGGTAAATTTCAAAATAAGAAATTAATTTTACTACACATAAAGCGAGGCAGCAAAAGTGCAGCGCAAGACCAAAGGAACATCGGTGAACTCAAGAACTCAGCACATATACACACGCACGCACACACACATACAATCAGAAGGCTATTCAAATGTACATGTTTTGGGTAGGTTGGGATGGCGGGCAGCCATATGAATAAACTCGCTATTCAACCTCTGGCACAATGCTTGTTGTGTGTTTAGTATCATAAATTCAAAAGAACGACACTTTTTGCCAGCCAGAACACCTTCAAGATACACATACACACACACACACAGCCACAACCGCACTCACACGGCATTCATTTTTTTTGAATAGGTCGCCATAGCAAAATTGAGTTGCTGTTGAAATGAACAAAAAAATGATTCAATTTGCATGGCAACCAGTGTTGAACAGTGGCTCAAAGAGCAATGCAAATTTGAAAATTGAAATTAGAGTGGCCCTAAGAGCGACTACGTTGACTAAGTAAGCCTTTAAGTAGGCCATAAATATTATTTTTCTCATCCTCAAAGTCACTGGCATGTAAATTTAAATGTTTACATAATGGCTTAACATATTCTCTTTTATTTTTAGCATTGATTTATTTATGGGATCTGTGTTTCGATTTCGGGCTTTTACGATTCGTTTGCTTTGTCCGTGCCCACAAATTATGCAAAGCAAATATGTTCTTTGATTTGTTGTCCATGGGTTGGGGTTAAGCCATATATTAGCAGAAGTTTAGTCTTGCCGATTACTTGCTTTCTTTTTTATACATAATTATTTGTTTATTATTAAAATTTTAACAATGTCCAATACTGCTTCTTACTTCTAAATAGTTTAATAGACCTTGTGTGTATGTGATGGATCCTGTGTGAGATTTTCTTCAGAAATGTTTCTCTCTCTCTATCTCTCTCTCTTACTGAAACACTATAAAAATATTAAGAATAGTTCAAGCATATTCAGGGCCAAATACCTGCATAAAATATGCTCGCTCTCAAATATAACAACAGATTGTATTCACAACAAACACACAAAATTGCACATGCTTGAAGTGCCTCAGAAGAAAAAGAAAATAAAATGCAATTTACTTATCGGCCTAAAAGCCTATAACATAATTTGAAATTTACGCTTCATTTAGTGCTCTGCCCTGGCCAAGATTCTATGTGTGTGTGTGGGGGGGAGGCGTCTGTGTGTGCATGTGTGTGATAAAAATATCATTTATTTTGCACGTTTCTCTGAGGGTCTCAACGCTAGAAAACTAAATTGTCCATCTTGAGCCCGGATGGGGTTGAGTAGACGGTGGATCAGCAGCTCGTTCATAACCGACAATCAGCTGCTTCTTAGCTTCCAGTCTGCTCGCCCCACTCACTGTCTATCTTTCTGTATGTCTGTCTGCCTCTCTCTGTCTATGTGTCTATTTTGACTGTCTATCTCTTTTCTGCTTTCTATTGCCTCTGTCCACAAATTTCCTGCACTGTGGAATATTAAATTAGGCGCCCAGCCGTTTCACGTTTCTCTTTCTGCTGCTGTAGCAGCATCAGCAGCAGCAGCAGCTTCTCTCGATTTATTTTTTTCCTTTCTTATTTTTTTATTTTTCAATTTTCGTATTTGGTTTGCTGGTTAGGTTTTCGCACAGTTTTTCTTTTTTTATCTCCTATTTCTTTGTTGGTAGACTTCCTTTTTCCGCTCTGTGTTGGCTGTTTCCTTCTGTGCTTATAAAATTCAAACAGACATGTGAAATATTCAATTTCTCAAGTAGCAAATCCTCTCCCCCTCCCCACCCACTGCCAACTCTCGTCCTGATTGTCCTGCCACTATAACTGTAATGCGTCGTATGTTGTGCTGAATTAGCCGTGCCAAATGCGTCGCCGACTTGCTTGGCTGCTCGGCATTTGGGTTTGGTTTTGGGCTTGGCTCTGGCACTGGCTCTGGCCCTTTGTCTGGGCCTGGCCCAAGGTGATGCGGGCTATCGTATAAAACTACTCGTGACCTTTGTTAGGCTGCTCGTGCACGGGTTACCCAAAGATTCAACTTAAGCCGGCTGCCAAGAAGTTGTACAGCGTATGTCTTTAGCTCTACTAGTAGATATATCAAGAGGATATATAAATTTTAGGAAATTACACAAAATCTTCATAAGCAGACATTTATAATCTTAATTATATCCTACTAGAGCACACAATTTGTCTATGGTTATTCCAACAATTTCATACATTAATTCTCTATGCAATTGTTTTGATTACGAAAATTTCATGTTCTTAAACTATCATCCTAGTTTATGATTGAGTGATTGGGCTTCTTAAACAGCCCGTCAATCGCATTATCTAAATTAAAAACTAGCCTACATTTCAGCATTTAATTTCAGTATAGTGTAGGACTCAATTCGATTTCACTCAATACTCGAATTTAATTTTCGATTCGAATTAATCCTTTCGCTTCGGCAAACATTTCACCTGGCTTATTCTGTGTCACTTTAAATCAGTTGCAATCCCTTTGGGACAGGCACACAATAGTCAAATTAGTGACTCAATAAATGCATGAGAGCACAAGACCCCAGCCCAAAAATATCCAAACCAAAGGCGAAAGCCCAAATCATGTGTCCGTCCTGAAATTCAACTCATAAACTAAACCGCTGGAAACTTGAATGGCCATTCACATTATCGCCAGGGTGTGTGTTCGGCAGCTGGTTTGAAAAGTTTTTGCCACACAAATCAGCTGGGGGAAATTTCACCACAGCTTTGATAATTGTTCATAAATCCCATTGCACTCCCACACTCTTTCAAATCAAAAGTTTTGCTCGCACTTTGCAAAATTTATCACCTCATTTTTCAGAGCATTTCTACTAATTTGTACCACAAATCTTTTTCGGGCGACACCTGCAGTCAGCCAAGCGAGTGTCAAATATTACAGAAGCCCCATTCATAGCCACGCCTAAAAATGTCCCATCAGCCTCCACCCAAAACTTCAATTCAAGCAACTCTGGCATACAAAAGATTGTTAGCAATCAACTCAAGCACCAAACTTTGATTTGTATGACCATAAATCGCACTTCATTTTTGATTCAACCAGCCCCTTGCCTCTTGCCTCTTGCCTCTTGCCCCTGGCCATGCCAATGCCTTCACACAGTTTTGCGGTTGTCTGTTCATAAATTTGTACCCCAACGAACTTGGCAAAAAGTTTCCCCCACTCACACGCACACGCACTCACACATAGACAGCTTTAAGCCTTTGGCAAACAGTTTTCTTATCTGCTTGGCATGTGTGTGTGTCTGGCCTGTCTCTGCTCCTGCCCCTGGCCTGCTCTCTGGCTCCACCCCTTAAGTTGCCATTTGCTTTTTGTATGGTGTGTAAACGTCTTTAGCTTGGCTTTTATAATTCTATTTCCGTTTCCGCAGCAACGCAAAAAAAACTTTTTGCTTGCTTTTCCTCATATATTTCAACATCTTTTTTCCATGTAGACCATTTCCTTCGTCCTTTCTCCGGCTGCAAATCAAACTTTTACACATTTAGTTGTGTGATACGAGTGTGTGTGTGTCTGTCTGGCTGCCATCATCATTGTCATCATCACCATTGACGCAACTGGCTACTGTCCGTGTCCGTTCAGTCTCCGCCTTGCTTCAGTTTCTTCGGCACATATCGTAGCATTCTTTTGTGCGCCAACGCTTTGACATTGAATTTCTCTGTGTCATTTACCATTTCAATGTATGCTTGTGTACGTGCGTGTGAGTGTGTTTATGTATGTGTGTACTTGTGGCTAGGGCTAAACGTACTCACTACTTGGGCTATCCCAGGCTCACCCTTTCACATACTTCTCTGTGAAGAGCCCGCATAATTCAGCGATAACTGCCTGACAGAGACACATTTGCAGCTCTTATGTGTGTATTGAGTGTGTGTGTGTGTGTGTGTGCGAGTATGTGTGAGGCTTGCGTTTTGTGGTCGCTCTCTGTTTATCTTGGACTCTAGCTCAACCCCTTTTTGAGCTGGCTCAAGATTCATTTTTGCTCCCCCTCACACACACTCAAAAATTGCATCTGGCGCATGCAACAAAAATTTAATTTAATAAAATTAAATCTGTTTTAAAAAGACTTTAATTGAGTTTGGCCAGTGAATATTTCTCATTTTCTGAGGTCACACAGTGTGGACATCGGCAGTTTATATAAAAATGTAGATGTAATATATATATATTATATATTTATATGCATATATACATATAAATTGTCTGAGATACCCATTCAATGCTGTTATACATCTTCATTTTAGATGCCAAATATAATTATTCCGTAATGGAACTTAATTTTATGTGTTAAAAGTAATTTAATAAATAAATAATTAAATAAATAAAGCAAACAAATTTTTGAAATAGCACCAAGCCCATAAAAATGTTTTACAATAAAATAAAAAATTACATTGTCAAGTGTAGTTTGCATGGCTGAAACTTGAATTTGAATTCAATTTGTGACTGGTGGCAATCGCAGGCGACTTGGCATTCAAATGATGACTTCATTTGAAGCGTTTGGCTGCAGATTTGACTGCAGCCAATCGTCCAAAAATATGCAATACAAAGTGCGCTACGAACACGCATAAAAATTTAATTTCTAATAATATTTTATGGTGGCCTCTCACGCTGCACAACAACAACAACAGGAACTACAACAACGGCAGGAAACCCAATTAGAGCAGCAAGCAACACACAAAATGCATAAACGATTTTAATGGTCAATTTCGGTAGAGTTTGGTTGGTGCGAGGTTGGGGGCCAGTTGAGGGCTGCTGAAACGCCTGCTGCTGGTGCGGCTGGTAGTGTGTCCTGTAAGCTGAGGAGGCTGAATTCAATTTGGCCGCTTGGCCGCTTGGCTGCTTGCTGTTGCTTCATAATTAAATCTTGGCTAGCTGCATGTCCCAGTCATTAAAGTAATATGTTTTTGCCTAATTACGCATCACACACACTCACACACTCAAACTCATAACTCAATTGCATGAT